ACATAATCGCAAGATCAAGAAGAGAAATGATAGAGACATTCACTCAAATAGAACGAGCTGCAAAAAATAGTGGTCTTAAAATCAATCAGACAAAAACAAAATATATGCCTGCAAATAAAAACGCACAAATAAGGCAGCTGCCAAATTTAACAATAGGAGAATACAACATTGAGGCGGTAAAAAACTTTACATACTTAGGATCCCTAGTTACGTCTGATAACAACGTTGCAGAGGAAGTGAAGAGGAGAATATTTATTGCCAATAAATGTTACCATGGCTTAATTAGGCAACTAAGATCAGATAACGTCTCCAGAAAAACAAAATGCCAAATATACAAAACCTTAATAAGACCGGTACTCACATACGGTTCAGAAACCTGGACACTCTCTAAAAGGGAGGAAACGTTATTAGCCACCTTTGAAAGAAAAATCTTGCGACACATATATAAGGGCACAAAAGAAAACGGGATTTGGCGGAGAAGGTATAACTTTGAACTATACAACATATACCAGGATCCGGATATCATAACATTCATTAAAATAGGAAGGCTACGTTGGATTGGACATGTGGAAAGAATGGAAGAAGGCGAAATACCAAACAAAATATTCAAACAAGTGCCAGTAGGAAAAAGAACAAGAGGAAGACCGAAGCTGAGATACGTAGAACAAATAAAAAATGATATAACAACATTAAAAATTAAAAACTGGAAAAAAAAAGCACGAAACAGGTCAGAATGGAGAAGAATCCTTGAACAGGCCAAGACCCAAAAAGGGTTGTCGAGCCAGTGACGATGATGAACCAGAGTGCCTCTACTAGGATGATTGAACCTTTGTTTCAATGTCATATCCATAAGCCCATGTTTCGTTACCTGGTATAACCATTTTTAGAAAATATGGGGCGTCGTTTACGTCATTTAGCGACTCCTGAGCAACTTCTATTCGCCGCTGTTTTTTATTTTTAAAATTTAGCTGACATGCGTTTCATATTCAAAACGTTAGAAAAAACTTCATGGCATGGCCAATTGATATGCCAACTTAATCAGCGACATCTTTAATTGTGATTCGGTGGTCGTTCATAACCATTTCTGTCACTTTTTTTACGTTTTCATTGGTTCTTGATGTGCTGAGCGTCCGGGGCGTTCATCATCTTCAACGTCTTCACGGCCATCTTGGAACCGCTTATAACACTCGTTAACACTTGTTTTTTTCATAACATGTTTGTTACATTGCACACACTTTGTTAAGCTTTGTTTCATTTTTTCAAAAAAAAAAAACAAAACAATTCTTGACGATTGGACTCTTCAAACCCATGAAATTTAAAAATTCCGGGAATTTTTTGGACATACCTCGTATTGGCGACCCAGGAAGCACACGGGAAGAAGAGAAATACATCTAATGATATAAAGCAATTATCTACGAGACATATATTATATTTAAACAAAATTAACCGAATTTTATGGACATTGGTGGATTACACCAATGGATAGAGTACGGAATAATAGATAAATACAGTGTGTCCGTAAAGTATGGAATAAATTTGATATTTTCTAAATGAAAAGCCTTTTTAAGAAAATCTAAAAGATGCCGATTTTTAAGTGTAATGTTCCACATTTTGCATTAAAATTTAATTATACAAGGTGATACACATTAAGGTGATGACGTCATTGGTTATTTTTTTAAATGTAACACAGATCGATAAAAATGAGCTGATTCCAAAAAAGTATGATACTGTGGGTCTAACGGATATAATTTGAAAGTTATGCGCTTAGAAAATTAATTTTTATTGATTTATAATATTAATAAATTATAAATAAATTATAATAAATAACTTAAAAGTAATCCAGTAATTAATACATGACTTTATCTTGTCTTAAATGTTCAAATTGTAGCCCTGGTTGTATTTGACAGTAACCCAAACGTTGTACAAATTCTTGTAGATGATGTTTATGGTTTCTTGAGAAATATTGTTTATTTCTTTACGAATTCTTGTTTTTAAGTCTTCAATATTTGCAGGTTTCGTTTTATAAACAACATTCTTCAAACGACCCCACATAAAATAATCTAAAGGATTAAGGTCTGGCGACATCGCTGGCCATTCAATATGTCCACTTCTTCCAATCGACCTGTTCGGAAAAAATTCGTTTAGGTACCTTTGCATATCTACAGCATAATTTTTCTGTAGGCTAATACTCTATATATTTCCATTTAATAATTCCTCAAATAATATATTTTTTATAAACATACATCGATTGTTACAACGAGAACGACAATAAACGAAAAGTGGCTCAAACTACATCTATTACAGGAAGAATCAATAAAAGATCTGTACAAAAGAAGACTAGACCAAAAACTAGAAGAATTCAGATATGACACGTTAGATGAAATGCATGAACGCATAAAAACCTGCCTGATTTCAGCGTCCTTAGAAGCTCTTGGAGAAGACGACCAAAGGAACACCCATCAGAATATCAAATTAAGGGAAGACACATTGAAATGTATAAAAGAAAAGAAAAAACTACACATAAAATACCTAAACACCAAAAAACAGGAAGACTTAGACCTATATAGAGCGAAAAACAGAGAGGTAAAGAAAAGAGTAACAAATGAAAAGGAGGAACGATGGGAACAAGCATGCACAGAGATAGAACGACATATCGGAGGAACGAGAAATTCAGAATCATGGCGAATATTAAAAGCACTCCAACGAAATAAGACAGAGAAAACCCAGAATGGCAAAATTAGTGAAAACGAGTCGCAAAAATACTACGTAGAACTACTTACAGAAAACCGACCCCAATTTCAGGAAGAGAATACAGAACATGCAAGGAATGGGACATACAACCAGATAGAAATAAGTCTGACAGAAGTCAAGAGAGCAATCAAGACATTGAAGAACAAAAAAGCCAAAGGACCCGGAGGGATACCAAACGAACTAATTAAAAACGGAACGGAAAAGTTATTCCGCATGCTACACAGAATGTTCGAAAGAGGACTAAATGGAGAGGAAATACCTGCGCAATGGACACAAGCATATATCACATCCATACATAAGAAAGGAAACAGGAAAAAATGTGAAAACTACAGAGGAATTAGTATAATATCGTCGGTAGGTAGACTTTACGGGAAAATTATCAAGGAAAACCTAGAAACTGAAATACTAGGAAAAATTGGAGAAGACCAAGCAGGGTTCACAGTAGGAAAATCATGCCTAGATCATACGTACACATTAGAACAACTGACAGAGAAGAAAATTGCAAAAGGTAGACCGGTCCATCTGGCGTTTGTTGATCTAAAGAAAGCATACGACTCAATACCTAGAGTCAAATTATGGGAAGCAATGAATGATCTCGGAATCCGACAAACACTAATAAAAGCAGTTAAAGCACTGTACAAAGAAAACAAAGTAGCTATTAAATGTGGAAATAAAGCCTACAATCCATTTAAAACGACAAAAGGACTCCTACAAGGCTGTACTACGTCCCCTACTCTGTTTAAAATATTCTTGGAAAAGACACTCAAACCATGGAGGAGAAAGTGCGAAGGAATGGGCATACCAGTAAGAGACGAATACCTATACCTACACCTTAAGTTTCGCCGACGATCAAGTAGTCATCGCACAAGATGAAGAAGATCTCAGCTTTATGCTCAGAAAACTAGGAGAATATAAAAACAACGGAATGGAAATAAACTTAGAGAAAACCGAATACCTAACAACAGAAAACAAGGATATGAGAAACCTAGAGATTGACGAGGGAAGACAAGTAAATGGAACAGATAAATTCAAGTATTTAGGAACCATAATATCGAACCAGGGAACAACAGAAGAAGATATAAACAACAGACTAAGACAAACAAGAAACTGTATAAGAGAACTAAATTCAGTGCTGTGGGATAAGAACATTACGATAAAGACAAAAAGAGAATATATAATACCCTGACAAGAAGTATCCTGACATATGGGTCCGAAAACTGGACAATAAACAAGAGAAATAGAGGTAGAATAAGAGCAGTAGAAATGGAGCTCCTGAGGAGAAGCTGTAGACTTACAAAAAGAGACAGAATTGAAAACGCAGAGATTAAGCGGAGAATGGGAGTGCAATCAGACATAATCGACTATATAGAGGAGAAGAGACTATCCTGGTACGGCCACGTCAGAAGAGCGGACAGAGGACGCTGGATAAACAAAATCACAGAATGGAGCACGATCGGAAGAAGAAAGAGAGGAAGACCCCGAAGGTCATTCAGAGACGAAATCGACGAGGCTATGGAGAAAAGAACCCTGCGAGATGGAGACTGGAATGACAGGGAAAATTGGAGAAAACGGTTGAGTGAAGGAACACAGTGAAAACTGGGGAAATCCTTAGTAGTAGTAGTAATATATTTTTCTATGTTTAATAATTTTTACTAATTTTCTATTCTTGTTGACTTTTTCAATACCTACTTCATTTTTAGTTATAAGTAGGTATTAGATAAAAAATTGTAATTACCATTTAGATAGTTTTCATCGGTTTGTAACATCCCTAAAATATTTTAAATTTTGTGAGATATGTTTAAAAAATAAGACATACAATTTGTGTTGTTGATTAGGTAGGTATAAAGATATCCAATATATCTATTTCATTGGCAAATTCTTTTCATTTTGTGGGAAAAAGTCAAAGAATGAAAGTTTTGTTCAAGATTTCTTTTATTTAATATATTAAAGAAGCTGTCGGACCTAATTTTGAACGCCTTGTATGAATGATGCCCCTTCTAAGTCAAGATACCCTGATTACAAAGAATTATTTTCTGTCTAACACATAAAAGATGACTTTATCAAGAAATCTATTCTCGTGAAGACATACATAGAGATGGTGACAAAAAACATAAGTAATATGATTTGGAATATTTACATCTAAAGAGAAATGTGGGTGGTCTTGCTTCGGTCTCAGTCGCTCCGGCTCGCCGAAGAATCAGAATCAAAGCAGCGATACAAGACTGACTAAACTTCATTACAGTGTGCGAGCGAAACCGGGAGGTTACCGATCGCATGTCGTTTGTCACAACTAACGTGATCAGTTGTTTACTTTCGAAAGCATGTTTAGTATACAGCAACGGAACTGTCGAAGTAGTTTGTTTCCTAGTCGGGAGTTACAGATTTCGGGAACTGCTTAGTGCCAGTGCATGGTGCCTCCAGAGGGTCAGATGTGCAGTGTAAGAATTGCCGATGAGTGGGCCTGAGTGCTACCGCTGGAATCGTGTGTCCGTCGAGGATGGCCTCAATGGCGCCATCGGACTCAACGACGGAGTCTACACAGAGGCACGAGTCAGATATTTACACCAGAACAGGATGGGTAGACGCAGATATCGCCTTAGGACAATTGGATCAGGTAATGATAACGATATATCACTCTATCAAATCACAAAACAACATCAAAATCATAACAAAAATCAGCATTCAAGTCACCCAAAACAAACTGAATGTAACTTAAAATTAACCCTTATATTTAATTACAATGTTATATAGTCCGATTTCATGCATATAATTTAATTAAATACACTATAAGAAAGCCATTCTATCAGTATTCCAATTTTATTTCAACAGTAAAATCAGTTATTTTCTGTTTAGTTTTGTTATGTATTAAAAGTACCAAAAGAACCTTCAACCTATCATAATTTACTTCGAAACAAAAACTATATTAACAAAACAGGATAATGGTGAAAGTACATTTGATTCACGTTTGAAAAATCATGACTGAAAAGATTTCCAATAGCTCTAATTTCCGGTTGAATTTATTCATCATGTGTTTGAGAAATGTTACAGAAGCAATTCAGTGCCGTTTGGACTAAAAGTCCGACTCAAAACTAAAAATTGTTCACCGGAGATCGACCAAATAACTAAAATAATATTTTTAACATCAATAAAATTATGACTGATAATATAATTGTAGCTTGAATTTATTTTTTGTTTTTAGAATGTGAGTAGGGCCGTATGGGAAGCAATAATTTCATACAATTTTCGTATTTATAGCTTAAGTTTTTAGAGAAAGTAAATATTCAGACGTTAGTCAGTGCCTACTTAGTTTTTTTGTGACCATTCTCTTTTCTAATTCTAGGTTTTGAGGTTTTGTTAAATTAAACCACATCTATAAGAACGTTTATGTTCCCAAATGATTTAATTTTTTAAATTTTTATGCCTTATATTTTAGTTGCATTTATAGTTTTCTTTATTGTATGAAACTATTCAATTTTATCCCGCACCCGTTTTGATTATTATCTGTTAATACTAAGCATGGGCGTCCTTCTAAATGTATAGGTATGATCTATTTATGGTATCATTCTTTATACCCACACATTTTTGTCTTTTCATTTGTATATATTCATTTATAATAAGTTTAAGAAACTGATTCACATGCTCAAAAGTAATCAACACAAATATTTGTATTGTTTTTTGTCTAAATTGTGTAAGATTTTAAAATGCACAAGATGGGGACAAGCAATTAGCCCAAAGAAATCAAGGTTGCCTTATTATCAAGGCAAGGTTTTGTTTATAAAATTCTTATCAAAGTTTGTACAACTAAAATTATTTAAAAGATAACAAATTTCAACTTTTATTTTAAATTTGGCAAAGACAATATTAATTCTTCTGTTTAAATAACTAACATATGAGTAACTTTGTAACATACACGCGTTATCTCAGAATGGTAATGTTTGTTATATAATACCTATACATAGTTGTAAAGATAATGAAATTATTAGATATCTTGCATTTCTTTGTCTCTATAGTCTTTTTTTTAAGTTGTAAGCCTTCTAGATCTTACATGGTATTTAATCATCTTTCGTCTTAATTTGTTAGTGTTTTCTTGCATTTTCTAAAACTAACAATTTACAATAATATTCAAAATTAAAAATGACAGTTTTCCTTACATCTACATTCGCACCAACCTTCCATTTTAATGATCACTACAGAACTACAAGAACTTATAAGCGACCTAAATGCAGCTAGCAATAAAGTTAGCCTAAAAATGAACTTAAAAAAAAATGTACAATGAACTAGTGGATGCACAACACTGCAGTTGAGACAGGAGACGAGTATGTACACCTGGGGCAATTATTACATAAATTTGGCTCCTTACTCCTAGAAATCAACAAAAGAATGAAATTAGTTTGGGCATTTTTTTGGTAAAAATGCTGTAATATTCAAATTCAGAATAGGACTCCACCTGAAGAAAAGAACATTCGATCAGTGTATATTACCAATCATGAAATACAGCTGGGGAAGCTTGGACATTAAAGAAATACATAATAAACTCAAAGTCACTCAAAGGTGAATGAAGCGATGCATGTTATACACGCAAAGAGAGATCGCAAAATAATAGAATGGATCGGATAGAAATCCAAGGCCACTAATGCAATTCTTATTAGACTCCGTATCTCTACGGAGGTTGTCAATCATAATGGCTATTTTTATTTTTGAAACTGCTGCTCTAAAAAAATCAATCAATCTGCATTGATACCATAGATCACGTGATGATCACGTAGATCCTTCAACCTTCAGTAGAAGGTAGAATTCTATCATTTGAAATTCTATCAGTCTATGATATTTTTCATACTCTGCAGTGTAACCAGAGTTCGAAATCCTCGATTCTTTTTAACTTGCATTTTTTTAATGTCTCAGCTCCATTTAATAATATTGAAAATATAATATAACATTGAATGATTCGTAGTCTGATTTCTAAATTTGATTTATGTACGTTAGGAGTGGCTTCATTCCTATAAATGCTGATCTGGCAATCTCTATTCGCTTTTGTATTTCTGCAGTATAATTATTGGTTTCATTGACCAAAGTTCATAAATACTGATATTTTTCTACTTGTTTTATCACTGTTGTAATAGACCGAATCAAGTCAACCAATTCAAAATGGCAGTGGGCGGGACATTTAACGAGAAGAGTATCCAAGGAACGTCCCGCGGAAGACCAAGACGACCTCTAAACTTAAGATGGGATTATGACATAAAGAAAAAAGCAAGTACAACATGGCAAAGAGAAGCGAATATTAGACAATCGTGGACAGAAATGAAGAAGGACTATGTAAGGGAGGCAGCCCATAATCGGTAGAATACGCTGAGATATGTATGTGTGTGTATTTATAATCGGTCTCAAAACATCCGATGTCCTAACTTCTACCGGTTTCTATTATTACATTGGGCCTCTCTCAGATCTCTAGCACTCATTGCTTTAGCTATCTCCTTTTTCCCTGTTTTCTTCCCGTCCTACAGCTGGGTGGGGTATCCATCCATTGCATGGTAAAGTTGGACAGACTATTTTCTTTGATTATCTGTTGTTAATAAGAGGCCCATCGAACTTCATCATTTCTAATTCTTTCCCTTCTGGATACTTTGAAGGATAGTCAAACACATTAATTTCTGACTACTATGTAATTGCAGTATGTTTTATTCGTTTTTTCCAACTAGATGTCATTTAAATCCCGTAACCAATTCTCAAATTCGAATTTAAACTTTTAACACGTTAAGCCCCGGACCATCATGACATAAGTTTTCTGTCAGACCGGAACATTTTTTTAATAATTTTGAAATAAGAATGTGTATAACTATTTATTTCTATTCTAAAATAAAAACAAAAGACTTTTTTAAGTAAAAAAACAGCATGTACCAACAGGGTACACACGGTCTATTTATAATTATTTTTGTAATTTGTTTTAATCTGGACCATGTGTGCCATATTGGCTCACACCAGGAAGATAATCAAATACCTTCTCCCTAAGATATTTTAAGTTTAAAAATACAAAAACAATTTATTTTTTCAAAGAACATGTATGAATATTCACAAAACACTTAACACACATATATGCGGTATTAACGGCACATGCCGGACAAAAAGTGTACACCCTTTTGGCATTCTTCATCGCTGATGATCTTCCTTTACGGTTCGAAAAGTTCTTGTAACATACTGAACACCTTCCCCTTTTCTCTTTCTCGTCTAACGTATGCATAGTTGTTAAAGAGTTTGCAGAAGTTGTTTGAGGCATTAAAAGACTGAACAATCTGTTCACGTAACTCAGTAATTGAGAGATGTTTGCCAGTAACAGATTTGTAGAGAACTAAAGAGTTCACAAGTGCGCTATTTGTTAGTAATTCCACAGCCAATTTACGATACCACTTTATACTTCGTCGATTCAGCTTTTTCTACAAAGCAAAAAAAAAGTAAACTACAAACAGAATTTGTGCATTCTTAAATAACTTACCTATCCTTCTTGTATCAGCCTCCTTTTGGATACAACTAGGACCTGCAGTTATTTTATTTCTTGATACAACATCGTCAATAACAGCTTCCAGGCTAACGTTTGCAGATTCAGCTTTTCTACAAAGCAAAAAAAAGTAAACTACAAACCGAATTTGTGCATTCTTAAATAACTTACCTATCCTTCTTGTATCAGCCTCCTTTTGGTTAGAACTGGAACCTGCAGTAAATTCTTTGCAATTTTGTGTTTGTTTGCAAATTTTAGCTTTTTTTCTACGATACTCATATTCACTACTGTATGAGTCTGAAGAACCATCAGTAACATTTTCATTGTACACTGGATCGGCATCAGAATCATGAAACGTACTTTCAGACATACTAATATCACTAAAGTCACTCTCCTCAGCAATTCTGCGAAGTTCGTCTTCCGATAGTCCTTTACGGAACATTATCTTATTTTTTAGTTCCACTTTTTAACAAAAAAACTGAAGAGAAAATAGTCTTAGCCTCGTTAGACGTTCGAACCGATACTGACTGAAGCATGTTAGAAATTATAACCTAAACCTGCTTGTGAACACGTGGTTTAACGGACCAACCTCTGATTTTGTTTACCACAGATCGTTTACACACATTTATACATAAGAAAGCACGGTAAATGCGATCCTCGACGAGCCACGGCATTAGGAATACGACACTTCGCTGTGGCCTGATAGGTACACACGGTCCCAGATAAAACTAGAGTGTGTGCCAGTGTGATACACATGGGGCTTAACGTGTTAAAATGGAACTAATCCATTCTTTCGCACCATCTTTTTCTTGGTCTGCCAATACTTCTTCGTCCATTTGGTGACTTATCTCGTGCTATTCATACTATTCTATCCTCTTCCATTCTACTGATGTTTCCGTTCCACTCCTGTTTTCGTTTTGTCACCTATATTGTTTCGTTTATGTCTTCTATATTGCATGATCGTCTTATGTATGTTATCGCTTCTCTTCCTATCCAACAGACTTCTCCCTGATATTCGTCGGAGTATTTTCGTCTCTGTTGTTTCTAGCAGTCGTCTCGTTTTAGATGTGTCAGGTCTTGTCTCCGCCGTGTATGTTAATATAGGTCTAATTACGGCTTTA